TTTTTCGCATATAGATTTGGCAGATGCATATTTACAGACGGCAGTCACATCGGAGGCAGCGAAGTTGCTAACTATAAATACGTATAAGGGTTTATTCGCATTCAACCGACTTGCACCAGGGGTCAAAAGCGCACCAGGTGCGTTCCAACAAAAAATGGATACTATGTTAGCGAACATAGATGCTACTGCAGCGTATATAGATGATATAATCGTTGGGGGCTCTACATGGGAAAACCATCTACAAAATTTATTCAAGGTCTTGCAAAGACTAAGAGAGTACAACTTTCACGTAAAGTTGGAAAAATGTAAATTTTACGCGGCGGAGGTTAAATATTTGGGCAATATTGTTTCACAGTGTGAACTACGTCCAGATCCAGATAAAATCAGCGCAATACTGAAGATGCCACCGCCTACAAACATTTCAGAACTACGAGCATTTTTGGGTAGCGTAAATTATTACGGGAAATTCGATCGCAGCATGAGCAGTGTGAGGGCACCTCTGGACGCACTACTTCATGATAATATGAACTTTGTATGGACATCGCAATGTCAACAAGCTTTCGAGAAGTTCAAAAGCATTTTGCAGTCCGACTTACTGCTCACGCATTATAATCCGGATCTTCCCATAAAAGTGGCAGCAGATGCGTCGGGCAAAGGCATTGGAGCTTTCATTTGTCACATCATGCCAGATAGTACCGAAAGAGTTATTGCGCACGCAGCATGTACATTAAGTTCAACCGAGCAGAAATATTCTCAGATTGAGGAGGCGCTGTTTCATAGATATATTTTCGGACGAAGATTTATATTGTGGACAGATCACAAGCCATTACTATCCATCTTTGGTAGTAAAAAGGGTATTCCCGCACATACTGCAAATAGACTACAGAGGTGGGCACTTATCCTCATGCGGTATGATTATGAACTACAGTACGTTAATACGAAAAATTTTGGGTGCGTGGATACTCTATCCAGGCTGATGGATAAAAATGAGCATGAAGATATGGTCATAGCATGCACGCAACTGGAACAAGAGATATTGGCCGAACTCAACGACCAAATCAGGAAACTTCCAGTCACGTTTAGTATGGTACTAAAAGCTACAAGCAAATGTAAGCAACTAGAAGCAGTTTTGAAAGCATTGAAGTCTGGATGGCCAGCGAATGTGCCGTACGATCTACTTCCTTATCATAGACGCAAAGATTCTTTGAGTGCAGTGAGAGGATGTCTACTTTTCGGAGAGCGGATTATTATCCCAGATTGTCCGCGAAAACGCGATTTATGCCAATTACATCGGGGACACCCTGGAAAGGAGAGAATGCAATCTATAGCGAGAAGGCATGTTTTTTGGCCTGACATAGACGAAGAAATCGTGTAGTTCGTACGAAATTGTCAACCATGTGCGATGGCAGCGAAATCGCCTATAAAATCTACACTTCACTCATGGCCGCTGGCAGCAATGCCTATGGAGCGATTGCACGTAGATATCGCTGGACCCTGCAATGGAGACTACTACTTCGTGATAATTTTTGCCTACTCTAAATGGCCAGAGATTTTTCAAACCGCTAGCATAACCTCATCAGTGATTATAGAAAAATTGGATGAGACATTTGCAAGGTAACTGTGAAACCATCGTATCTGACATTGGAACACAATTTGCGAGCGCACAATTCCAACAACTTTTGAAGATGCGAGGACTGAATCACGTCTGAACAGACCCATATCACCCTCAATCCAACGGACAGGCAGAACGGTTCGTGGATACTCTAAAGAGGGCGCTAACTAAGCTTAAAAGCGAGGGAACGAGTGTAGAGAACTTACAAACATTTCTACAAACGTACAGGTCCACTCCAACCACGAATGTACCGAATGGTGAAACACCAGCACAAGCATTCTTAAAAAGAAAAATTAAAACATCGTTGAACTTGTTAAACCCACCGGAGTTTCAGCGTCAACCGCAAAGGAACGCAAAGCAAGAGCAACAATTTAATACGAAGCACGCCGCGAAGCCAAGACACCTGGCAGCAGGGGATTTGGTTTATGTTAGAACATATAAGAATAACAGAAAGCGCTGGGCACCAGGCACCATTATCGAGAGAATTGGCGGCGTAAACTACAACGTTTTACTGTCTGTAAATAAAAGACTAATCCGAGCGCATATATATCACTTAAAAAAACGATTTGCTGGAAAGGAATCACCGTCAACGGATGTTACAAAGTTCTTGTGGGACAGTTTCGATCTCTACCAAGTACCACAGCACAGTCAACAAGCGGTAGATAATGGCGACACACGGCAACTTCCAGAATCGTCAGAAACGCATGACCGACTTGAGGTTCCAGTACAGTTACAGGACGATCGCGAGCGGGTCGCAGTAGAGGATCCAGCTGTTCCAGATATATCTCCTACCCGAAATGCGCTAGAGATGCAAACTGCAGGCGAAGCGAGACCGGGCCGAATAAAGAAGCCGACATGGATGAGTGACTATGACGTTTCTTAACAAGGAGAGATGTTGCGGAGATTGCAGACTTATTGATGCAACCATGTTCTCATTCAACTCCAGCTAGGTGGCAGCACTGACATCGGATCACCTTATAGTTATTTCACTTACCTTGTTTACTTTACTTCCTTTTTACGTACTTTTGCTAGAGAACACGCTACTATTTTATATAGAATTAAATAAACTGGATTTTCTTAACAAATTGAACATTCTTTAATTCTGTTGGACCACAACGAATATATTTCACAATTAACTTAAATACTAAAGTACAAATATTTGAGCAACGACTTCGACACAGTAAAATAAAAAATGGGTATGTGTTAATAAAATAAATGTTCAAGCGCACTGAAATATTTTTCTATCAATTTCTCTAGTGCTAAAATAATTTTCACCACCTTGAATTGCTGCAGAACACCCTTATTGCCGAAAAAGCGTTGCTTGCAACACTAGTCCTTTATGGGGACCAAATTTGGTGAAAAAAAACAGCTAAGTTTGTTTACTGGATATACTGAGATTCGATACTCAACGAAAATTTCGATACGGTTGCATAGCTCATAATACGAATTTCACTTTCGATCTTCGATAACCAGCGAAGATCGAAAATCGAATGCAACTCATAATAACCCAGCAAACATTTGGAGTCATAAATGAGTCTTTAAGGAGTCCCATTTCGGAGCATTTTGCTCATTATGAGCTCATTTAAGAGTCCGAAATGAGGGTGTTTCCCTTCCTGCGAAGGTCGTCCTATATGAGCTTAAATTCATACATCAAATGAGCCTCAATATGAGTCATATTGGACTCTTATTGGCCTCATATACGGCTAATTTTGGACTCTTTTTGAAGCTCTTAAATGACTCTTATTGGCCTCATAAATGCCTACTTTCGGAGCTCCTTGTATGCTGTTCTGTGGCTCTTATTGGCTTTATTCTTCAACTCTCTTAATGAACTTACTTTAGAGCCATGTTAGCAAGGAATTCATTTCAAATACTGTTGCATATTTATATACAAACCTCTGCGCATACATATATACATATGTTCAGATATTGCAGCATTCATGAAATAGAAGTTGCTGCATCTAAATTTTGTTTATTTTTCCTTCCTAATTATTTTTCATATCTGTATAAACAAGTTTAGATATAAATTTCTAGTCGTTATTGTTTTATACTGGCACAAAGTGCTGGCTCATAACTTGGATCATATATGACTCCTAAAAGATTCATATAAGAGTAAAAAAATGTTTGTTTTTGAAACTCATATTTCT